TCATCACCAGCTTTTCCATCTCCACCACCATCGTCAGGATCTTCATCGTCTTCACCCTCCTCCTCATCATCACCAGCTATTCCATCTCCATCACCATCGGCAGGATCTTCGTCGATGTCAAACTTTTCGTGGATGATTGCGCGATCTGTGAGGATATGGCCTTTCCGTGCGTTGAGCCCGTCAGCGGCTTGGAATTTGCATGGATTTCACCGAAATAGGATCCCGATCTCGCTCTCGGCCGCTACCGGAGCTGCTCCTGTGTCAGTGAGGCACTCTGTCCCGCATTCGGGATTCGAATGGAGATGCTGTTGTCTTCGCCGCGACGAAGACACGAAGAGAAAGCGCCAAGAAGGCAGTTTCGTCGCGGCCCACAGCAGCTTGCCACGTGTCCGAGCGGTCGCTACCAACGCAGCCGTGGCCGTTGCGGGTGATGTAGCCCCGAAGGCGGCCTCCACGTGTCGGCCCCTGGGGAACTCCTTAAGTTTCTGTATAGTCGGGAGCGGTCCTGCGGGCTTCTACACGGCAGAGCGGCTGCTGAAAAGTTACCCGCATGCCACGGTCGACATTGTTGAGAAGCTCCCCTCTCCATTCGGCCTCGTCAGGTCAGGTGTTGCTCCAGATCACCCTGAGACCAAGGCTGTGATTAATCAGTTCTCAAGGTTGGCGAGTGTTGAGCGCTGCAAGTTTTGGGGAAATGTACAAGTTGGACGTGATGTGTCTGTGGCAGAGTTGCGGCAATATTATAATGCCGTTGTGTTTGCCTACGGTGCCGAGGGCGACAAGACACTTGGAATCCCCGGAGAGGATTACAAGGGAGTGGTCTCCGCACGCGAGTTTGTATGGTGGTACAATGGTCATCCGGAGTATGCAGGCTTACCGATTGATTTGACGGGCACAGACACTGCAGTTGTCCTTGGACAGGGAAATGTGGCCCTTGATTGTGCAAGGGTGCTCTTGCGCGATGTTGATGAGCTTGCCAAGACTGACATCGCTGAGCATGCACTGGAAGCGTTGAGAGAGAGCAGGATACGCACAGTGTTATTGGTGGGGAGGCGAGGACCAGCTCAGGCAGCGTGCACAGCCAAAGAGCTGCGTGAAGTACTAGGACTCAGAAGCATACGGGTACTTGTGAAGCTCAGTGACACGAGTCTTACTGAAGTGGACCAGGAGGAGCTCAAGAACAGTCGCAGCCGTAGGCGAGTGCATGAGCTGTTTGTGAAGGCAGGCAATGAGAGTGGAAATGCTGCCGATACAGATCGTCAGATCAACTTCACTTTCTTCAGGGCCCCCAAGGAAATTCTTGGGAAGCAAATTGAAGGTGGGCACTGTGCTGATGGCCTCCGGTTGGAGCGGACCATGTTGCAAGGAGGAGGTGGAGGGAAACCGCAAAGAGCTGTTGGAACCGGTGAGATGGAGGATCTCCCATGTGGGCTGGTGTTGAGGAGCATTGGTTATAAGTCCCTGCCACTTCCTGGGCTTCCATTTGACAATGCTAGAGGTATTGTGCCGAATAAGGAAGGTAGAATAATTGGCGAGGGCGAGGAAGGATCGGACAAGTATGAGAGAGGGATGTACGTTGTTGGTTGGGTGAAGAGAGGACCTACTGGCATAATTGGCACCAACCTTGTGTGTGCTGATCAAACGGTTGCCTCGATCGCGGAAGACGAGAAGCAAGGGCTCCTTCCCAGTACTGAATCCAATAAAGGCACAATTGGCTTGATGCAGTTGCTGTCGCATCGCCAGACTCAAGTGGTTGACTTCGAGGGTTGGAACAAAATTGCCCGTGAGGAAGTGAGAAGGGGTGCTCTGAAGGGGAAGCCAAGGGAGAAAATTTTGTCGATCGAGGAGATGCTGAAGCTGTCTCGAGCGGACTGAGTGCGGTGAGCAGAGTCCTTTGGTGCCCACTCCATCCATTTTAGTGGAGGATGGAAATTCATTCAGTGGACTACATTGTGTTGTGGCGATACGCTTGCTATTGCGATGACATTTGACGTTGCTGGATGGATGAGTAGCTGTGAGTAAAAGTCATACAAGCAGTGAACCTAACTGGAGCTAAGTGTTGGAAATGCCAATGCCCGATTGATGGAAACACTGGTCACGCCTGGATCATGAAGTGCCAGGCCAAGAACAGAGGAACCTTCATTAGCATGGGTGTTCTATATGGTTGGTGTTTCAATTCTGAGTTCTCACCCCTGCGTGCCTTTGGGCGTCGCCACACGGCACACGAAATGAAAAACGAAACGAATGAATCTTCCTGCAGAAAATGTCCAGGTTCATCGGTTTGCTATAAATAGTAACGAGTGTATTTTGCCACCTTTGGTGGACAGATGCACTCGTTTCGTTTTCGTTTCGTGTGCTGTGCCGCGACGCCCTTTATTGCATCTGATTTTTAGAATATGGCTTCATAAGCACGACATGATGGTTTTGATAGTAGAAGAGGATTCTGCACTTGTTCAAAATTTGGGAGCAAGAAGCACACAGGGCAGCAGGACAAAGGAATGGCAGTTGTACCAAGGGATGGCAGTGGTGCCAAGTCTTCTTATAACCAAGGAACGGCAATTTGACCATGGAGTAGCTGTTGTTTGCAGCAAGGAACAGCAGTTGCACCAGTTATATGTGTACCAGGGAACAACGAATGCCTCATCAGGCAGGGTAAGGCACATGTCCTGAACGCTCCCTCAAGGATTTATATGGCAGGTATTCCAGTGCATAAAGAGACTACTTAATCTCGAAGTAGAGGGCTGTCGTCAGAGTGTCAAGTGTGACCAGGGCTAGATGTGATTGGTGGAACAAGGCAACGCATAAAAGTAAATAAGAAGGAATGGTGCCCAGAAACCGTGTGGCACATGTTACATCAATTGTTTTTCAAATCACAAACTGGGTCGGGTCTGCAATTTTAGGTCGTCTTCTTTCTTTATTAATTATTATAGTATCAGGGCCTTACGATCCTGGCTCCTTTCTGTTCCGGGGTGCATCAGTCTGCCTCCTCATCCACCAACAAGTCTCAAAAACGTAGTTGGGCACATCGTTATGTTTCCTCTGTGCACTTCCTCTGTGCACACGGCCAAGGAACCTCTGAACATTATTGATTGCTCCCTGTCAGGGAGGACTAACTATCAAATAAGCCCTGTTGATCCCACGTTTCACTAACTATCAAATAAGCCCTGTTGATCTCACGTTTCACTTGGTGTTATGTGCTGCGCCTGCACACGGGCCCCATTTGCGGGGCCCGACTGTTGCTGAGGGGCCCCCAGGCCGCAGGCCATCCAGCACGCGCCCTGGAGGCCCACGGCGGCCTTTTTGGCCGCAGGCACAGCCTGAGGCAGCACTCAGTTATTTATTTATTTATTTATTTACTTACGTGGTCTTATTTTTGTCTGTGCAGATGTCGTTTCTTCCTCTTCCTGTACGTCCTGAAGATGTCGCCCTCCTCGCTGCCTCACCTGCAGGTAAGGCCTGGCACCATGGAGGGCGACACCTTCCTTCTTCTTCCTTTTCGCCCTCCATCTCGTCTCCCCCTCTCCTCCTCCTTCCTCCTTCCTCCTTCTTCATCTTCCTCTTCAGATATGAGAGTGAGAGGGATTACAGGCAGAGGACACAGGCAGGGGTTACTGTGGGCAGAGCGCCCAGGATCTGATCCGACATTTCTGAGGCAGACATTGATTGGACATCGGCAAGGGACTAGTTTTTGACTTCGTTATTGCGATCTTGGTCTTCTCCCTCGCCTCCATCTTCGTCTCTCCTCTCGCCCCATCTCTCATCTGTGGTATCTCTCCATGTGCGTGTACAAAGGAGCGACCTTTCTTCTATGTGTGTGGTCCCTCCTCCTCTCTCACATGTGTGACGAGTGATGGGGTGTCGCGTCAGTCCCAGTCAGGTCAGGACTTATCTTAAAGTCTTCCACTGCGCTATTTTGTGCCATTTTGTATGTATCAGGGTGTACATTGCCTGTTGATGTTCTCTAACATTGCATTGTCCATTCAGTCCTCTTCATCACATTGCGGATCCTTGGCCGTACAAACATTGCCCAACTGGGCATGTATCAGTTTGGATCGGAGGCCGCACGTGAATCAGGACAACCTGATCTGACACGTGTGCGGGGACCGATTGATTGATTGGTCATTGAGTGACTGATTGATTGATTGATTGATTAATTAGGTCATACTAATTAGTCCCCCAAAATCGCAAATATTGACCTAACTGCTGAAAATCAAAAAAATTTAATTTTCGGAATTATTTTTTTCCTTCAGTGCAAATTCGCTTGCTGGAAACTCACAGCTCCCGAAATAGCGCAGCATCTGAAATTTCTGATTCTCGTTTTGGCTGAATTTCAAAATTTCGATGTTGGAAAATCCGAAATATTTACTTTCGTTTTTGGAATATTGTGTGGATTCGTTTTTTTTTTTTGGATTCACACATCGAAAATTCCAAAAAATAAAAAAGTTATCGAATCTATTTGCGTTGATTTGTTCATTTCACGCATTTTTAACGGTAACGGAAAATTCGAAATTTGTTGTTTCCTGTTATTCTGAGATTCTGATATTGTTTTTTTTACGGAAAATCTCTCGTTGTGGTTTATCTTTTCTGCGCAAATTCTCATCTGATTGATTCCGAATTTTTATTTTTCGGCATGCCCGAAACTTGCGGACAATTTTTTGCAGCTCCGTTATTTATTATTCATTATTATTATTCATTTGCAGTCTGAAAATTTGAATTTTTTTTGTTATATAATTTTGAATTTGAGGGGGATCGGGAGACCTACCGAACTTGCAAGTCGAGTTTTTTAATGATTAATTTCTTGATTTTTTTTTGCAAAGATCAAACTATTTTTTAATTAGTGGCGCTCCTTATCTGGGCGACCAATCCCATCCACCCCGACCTATGCTGTTGCACCCTCCTCCTTTCCTTCTCCATCCGTCTCCGGGTACCCCCTACTGCGGCATTGGTGAGTTGCCATGTCAGCAGGCCACATCAGCAGACCATGTCAGCAGGCCACATCAGCAGACCATGTCAGCAGGCCATGTCAGCAGACCACGCCAGCAGTGACACATCAGTTGACAGCCTGCCGCATCAGCAGCCGAGCGGTGCGATGTCAGCAGCAGGGAATGTCACGTCAGCAGTCCCCCGGCCTGGTCTATGCTCACGCGCTCTCAAACAGCCGTCATGGACCAGAAGCCAGGGGAAACGGTCGACGCCTATCAGGCCCGAATGCAGACCTTGATCAACGAGGCCAAGCAACGGTCGGATGCGGTAGAAGTCGCAGAGAAGAAGAAGGCCAACGATGCAGAGAAAGCACATCTGCTGGCGATTGAGCAGAAGCGCCAGCACGACGAGGCAGCAGCAAGGGCTGCCGACGAGGAACGCAACATGCGACGCGAGAAGATATCCGGAGGAGAGTGAGCCTTGCTCACCATGGCAGCAGAATGGCGGTCCGAGGCCGAGGGTGGTAAGCTGGGCGAAAGTGAACTCAAGATCATGCTGTTACTCTCCCACTTCACGGACCTCCTGGTGACATGCATTGCACAACAGGAGGACATCCATTCCCTCGACTACGAGGTCAAGCGAGTCAGCAGTCGATTACAGCAGCTGGAGCAATGACCCGTCGCCAGCTCCTCCAACACTTCTGATGGCCTCGACGCACTGGAAGTCGACATTGGAGCACTGAAGAACGGCGCACAGCTACAGCGAACCGCAACTCAACAACTTGAGCAGCAGATCTGCGCTGCCGCTGCTAACTCGAGCACGTCACCATGCAAAATGACTCCGAAGTTCGATGGTCAGGAAATCTTCTGCGACTCTAAGAAGATGGACCCAATTTCGTGGTTCCGGAAGTTCGAGCTCAAGTTACAGCTCCACCACACCAGCGAAGAAAAGAAACACACGTATCTGTACTCCCGATCGGGGGGTGCGTGCCAAGCATTGTTGGACAATCTCTTGTCCAAGTACAGGGTGGTGGCTGCCGACTTGTATACCAAGATCAGCTGGGATGATCTGAAGGCGACGTGGCATGAGCGGTTCCAAATAGAGCCGCTGGACAAATTGTTGACTTTCCAACAACGCACGCTGCCAAGCGGCGATTGGATTGTCGAGTCTCAACGCTTGGCGTCAACGTTGGAAGTACCGATGGGCTTTACGGCCATCAAACACCACTTCATTACGAGGTCGTGTCCGACACTATCCAACGCATGGACTCACGTTGTGGAGACTCTCACTATAACAGTGGAGCTCTTCGACAAGGGGGCGCAGATTATTGTCATGAACACGGAGGCCAAGAACCTTCCTTGTTCATCTGCGGCAGACCCGATAAGAGAACAGCATCGGCTGAAGGAGGCCGTGGTCACGGCGGCAACGCTAACCGACTGTGTCTGCCAATGAAGGGGACAGACTCGCAGCTGCCTGAGATGGTGGTCGTCCCGACAAAGGCCGAGGACGCGGCAAATTGAAGACAAACACCACGTCAAACCCCGGTCCTGGCATAACAGCTCAAGACCCATGGAACCACTATGGTCTCTCGGAGCATGTATACAAGCTACACACGAGATTCCGCTATTGTTTGTGGTGCAACAACGATCTCCACGAAACACTAGGCTGTCCTTTGAAAGGCAAGGGCAAACACTCGGGAAAGTGAGCACCACGGGGACTGAGTCGATGACACTCTCGAGGCCTTCGGAACCGGTTGCTATGCGGGCGACCTTCACATGCGGAAGTCGATAGTCCTCTTTTATATCCTTTTGAGGACTATGCTGCCCGACTCGTTCCTATGTTGGGTACTCATGCTCGAGGGCAAGATGTGTGTGCGGTATCTTCTCCGTTTGGTAGCGGCGACTTATCGTCCTCAAGTGGTTCTTCACGGGATTCGGCGCGCGAGCTCAACATAGAGGTATTGGACCCGCTCACGTCCGAGGATTCGCATGGCTTCCTCTCTTCACCATGGGCCGCTTGTCGGGACCACAATGCGCAACACTATGCGCTCATCTTCACATGTACTTATCCTTCTATGCACCACCAACTTCGCCGACGGATGACGAAGTTGCGGTGGGAGACATCCTTGCATATGTTACCAAGGTGGCCTGCAAGTTTTGCACGCAGTGGTACGATGACAACAACACACCACTCCTCTATGTCCGCATCCAAGTTGGGCAAGCGTCCTGCAGCACTTTGCTGGATAGCGACACGACTCACAATTTCATGAGCCAAAACTTTATGTAAAGGGCTGGCCTTGGCGCATAAGTTCAGAGAAAGGCAAACCCGATGACAATCAAGTAGGCGGACGGAAGGATGTAACCGCTTATCAACCGCTACATCGAGGTCGTACCGGTATATTTCGCACCTCATGCATGTGCACCGATGATGTTTGACATTTTGGACACGGACTTTGATATCATTTTGGGAATGCCTTGGCTTGCAAGTGTGGATCACACAATCAACTTCCATCGACGGACTCTTACTATTCGCGACGCCTTCGGCGTTGGAGTGCCATGTACCGTTCCTCTTCCACACCCTTCGATCTGATGCCAAGTTGTGACGGCCAACTCGTTTGAAGTCACTTGTGTTTACGAGCAGCTTGAGAGATAGGCCCATGTTTCCTACGAACCATTGCGGTAGCCGACTCTTCACCTACGGACTTGTCTTCGGATCCCCGTGTGGCGCGGTTGCTTGACGAGTTCGTCGACATCCTGGAGTCACCTACCGCTGTGGTGCCGGATTGGCCGATCTCTCACGAGATCATTCTTGAGGCCAGTGTCGTGCCGTCGAAAGGTTGCATTTATCTGATGAGCGAGGAGGAGCTTACGGTCCTCCGCGCACAACTTAGCGACTTGTTGGACAAGGGTTAGATCCCCCTTAGTAGCTCCCCATATGGAGCGCCAGTTCTCTTCGTACGGAAGAAGAACAATGAAGTACGATTGTGCATCAATCACCGCAAGTTCACCACACAAAACGTCAGGAATGCAGGGTCTCTTCCTCGTATTGACGATCTCCTTGAGCGATTGGGCGGCGCGAAGTACTTTTTCAAGTTGGATTTGAAGTCGGGCTATCATCAAATTTTGATACGCCCGAATGACCGCTATAAATCCGCGTTCAAGATGCGTTACAAACATTTTGAGTGGGTGGTCGTGCCTTTTGGCCTCACCAATGCCCCAATGACCTTTCAGGCGGCAATGACCAATGAGTTCCATGCGATGTTGGACCGGTTCGTGCTGGTCTACTTAGACGACATCCTCGTCTATAGCCGGACCTTGGAGGATCATCTTGAGCACCTTCGACGAGTGTTGGAGACACTCCGCCGTGCCAAGTACAAAGCCACCCCATTGTCGAACAAGATTCAAGCCATCAAAGAGTGGCCGGAGTCGCGGAACATCACGGATGTCTGTTCATTTCTTGACCTTGCCGGCTACTACCAACGTTTTATCAAGGGATACTTGAAGATCATGGCCCACTTAACCAAGCTTCAATGCGAGGATCGACCGTTCGACTTTGGTGAGGATGCGCGAGAATCATTCTTGGCCCTCAAAACCGCGTTACTATCCGCGGAGGTCTTACGCATTTACAACCCGCTATTGCTAATGCGCGTCACTACTGATGCGTCCGACTATGGCATTGGTGCCGTCCTCGAACAACGCCATGGCATGGACTGACACCCAGTCGAGTACTTCAGCAAGAAAGTGCTCGTCGTGCACTCAATCGATGATGTACGAAAGGAGGAGCTCCTAACCTTCGTCCACGCGCTCAAGCGGTGACGACACTTCCTCCTTGGTCGAAGTCAATTCTGATGGGTGATGGACAACAATCCGTTGGTCTTTTACAAGACCCAAGACACGGTCAATAGCACCATCGACCGTTGGATGACTTTCATGGACCAGTTTGACTTTTTTCCCGATCACATCCAGGGAAGTCAAACCGTTTTGCGGATGTGCTTTCACGACGTCCGGATCATTGCACCGCAGTTTATTCGACCTTCAAGATCGATGACGAATCGTGGGACAGTTTCATCCGTGGCTACCAAGCTGACCCCGAGTTTCGCAACAAGTACGCGAATTGCTTCTCCTAATCCGGCGCCATCACACTATCGGATCTAAGAGGCATACTTGCTTGTCCACATGTGGGGGAAGGATCTTCTTTGCGTTCCAAGTGACTCTCACTTGCGTACACGACTTCTTGGCGAGTTCCACGCCGCTCTCGCCACCAGACACTTTGGAGTCCATCGAATGATTGGCCGACTTCTTGAGCGATTTTGGTGGCTCGGCCTTCTCGGCGACGTCACACGCTATTGCGAGCCATGCGAGGTTTGCCGACGCTGAAAATCCCTCAATCATCGGCTGTACGGCAAGTTGCAACCATTATCGGTCCCCCTACGCTGAAGGGAAGCGATTGTCGTGAGGTTGTTCCCCAAGCACAAGATCGGCGTGGATGGGATTCTCAGGGTGGTCGATCGACTCACCAAGTTCGCAATGTTTTTGCCTTGCCGCTTTCATGCCAAGGCACTGGAGTTGGCCGAGGTTCTTTACACCGGTTGGATATGAACCAAGGGTTACCCCAAGGAAATCATCTGCAACCGCGACACTCGGTTCATGTACGAGTTTTGGTTGGCGCTCATCAAACGATGGGGCTCATCTCTCAAGCCGAGTTCGGCTCGCCACCCCAAAACGATGGCCAAACGGAGAGGGCGCATCAGACCGCACAGGTTCTCCTTCGCATTCTCATCCGTCCCGACCAAAAGGATTGGGTTGAGCGGCTGCCGGATGCCCAGTTGGCATACAACTCGTCCATTCACCCGACTATTGGGATGTCGCCCTTTGAGTTTGAGCACGGCTCGCTGGTGACTTCTTCATTGGACACGATCATCCCACGGGTGGCTGAGAGCGACGACCATCTTCTTTTCTTACGTCCGATGCAAGAGCTACTTATCAAGGCACGCGACCAGATGGCAAAGATGAAGCAACACATGAGCCAGCAAGCCAATTGACATTGTCTTCCTTGTCCATTCCGCGCCGATGATCTCGTATGGGTCTCCGCTGCAAAATTCAGCCTCAAGCAAGATATCTCTCGCAAGCTCCTCCCGAAATGGTTGGGGCCCTGGCCGATCGTGGCACCCGCTAGGGACGCACCCGAAGGACCTTCATTTGTCATTTAGGTGCCCGCCCACGTGCCCGTCTAGCCGATCTTTCACTGCTCCAAGTTGGCTCTTTACATGCCAGCGGAACATGACGACTTTCCGGGATGACGATCGCAAAACCCACCCTCTATGGACGGTTTTCAAGAGTTGGTGACATCATCTCCCAGCGATGATACGACAACAGGCCGACCGAATACTTGGTATATTTTGCGTACTGCACCCATAAAGCTGACCGTTGGTTGACTCGTGCGGAACTGCAAGCAACAACTCCGGATGTTCTCACATGCTACGAACGCAAGTTGCAAAGCAAGGCGGCATCATCGGCTCCACGTCGCACCCGCATCCAGGTTCCACCTTCAGATCGTCAGCCTGAGTGTTACATGCCCGGTTGGGCGATGTACATAATAAACCGAGGATCCGCAATGTGATAAAAAGGACTGAATGGACAATGCAATGCAAGTGAAATCTCAACAAGCAGTGTATATTCTGATACATACAACAATGGTGCTTTATAGCGCAGTGGAAGACTTAGATACAAGTCCTGACCTGACCGGGACTAACCTTTATCACGTAGTGCAAGACAGCTCAGCAGAATGCTAGGATACCAATGACTAACCCAATCAACGTTGCAACGCAGACCCAACATCATTCTCATCACAAGGTGTGAAGGGGGCCTGGCGTTATACACAGGAAGATGGCGCCAGGTCCAGATCATGCACAGACGAAGAGGATGGGAACAGACGAAGAAGAGGGGGAGAGATGCGAATGTCGTCAACACCAAGTCTTTGTGACAAGTCCCAAATAATCCCTCGTCAAAATGACTGAAGCCCAAATGTCGAGTCTGGATCCAAATGTCGCCAAGCTCTCTCTTTCTCTCGTAGTCTGCTGATGCAGTGAAGTCACGTAGCAAGAGGGTGTTACATGCTGCGCTTGCAACAGGCTGCACGGGCCATTTTCAGGCCCGTGTCGTTTTCAGCTTGAAAGCCTGAAAATGAGGGCCTACAGACCCCGTGTTGTTTTCAGGCCAAAAGCCTGAAAACAAGGGCCTACAGGCCTGTGTAGTTTCAGCCTAAAGCCTGAAAACGAGGGCCTACAGACCCTGTGTCGTTTCAGGCTAAATCAGGGCCTTTTCGGCCCTGAGTATTTTCAGCCTGAAACTGAGGGCCATTTTCAGGCCCTCATCAGTTCGACCTGCCCTGAAACTCAAGCACCAGACCAGGGTTTTAGCTCAGGCCATTTTTGGCCTATTTTCAAGACAACCTTTGTTTGAGCTTCAACCCCAGGGTCTGGCACGTTTTGGCG